CCACGGGAAAGACTACAGCCATTGACAGAACTTGCCTTTGTCGTTGCATCATTGAGTGTTGTGCACCAGGGCTGCACACCACCGTCGACAATATTCTCTGGAAGGGGAATCTGAACCGTGACGCCAGCACCGCCAGGTCGCATCATGCGGTGACGCACAAAGCGCAGTAGTAGAAACTTGACTACCAGAGGCACTGCAAAGAAATTGCAGATGCGGAACCTACTAAGGAGTGTGGTCATCTTGAGAGAAAATGTCGGCTCCGACTCCAACCACACGGTGCAGTGCAGGTACGGCCTGCTCTGATCATCCATCGTCGCACGCTCGTGCTGAAGTTTCGCGCGAACACGCAAATGCGCCTTGATGTACTCAATATCACTTACACGAATCAACACGGGAAGGCGCCGTCCACGCGCCAGGCAAATATCGGCCTCCAGCGAGACATCCAAGCCACCAGCATACTCCACCTCCGCCTCCAGCTCCACAGCAGACGCTGGAAGTGTCGCGCCGCCTACCGACGTTGCTGACTCTTCAAAGAAGGAATCGCTGCGCCACATGTCTACCATATCATCGGCGCCGTAGAGGCTGGGATGCGGGACACGAGTCTTGCCCTTCTGTGCCCCCGCCACGTTGCCACTCCCTGTTGCGCCCCCCGCAACACCACCAATATTCCCACCACCACCACCACCACCACCGGCAGAAGCAGAAGCAGTGGCAGCTGCAGCTGCTGACAACCCCGGCTGGACGGCCGTCTTCAACTCTGCCCCTGCGAGTTTCGTCACGCGAATAGCGCGAATGATTGGTGACTCCTGACCAATTGAGTGAACCTTGCACATTGCATACGCCGCAATGCCACGGTCCTCCAGCAGCGCCTCCACACGCTCTTCGAGCACGCTCAGCATTCGCCGTGGCATCCCCTTGCTAGTCGCGCTATCACCACTGCAGTTGCTACCATGGTTCTTGTTGCGAAAGGAAGGGGGCGACGATTCTTGCCCCGGCGGAGCGTGCCGTCGCTGACGCTGTTCTCTTTCCGCACTTCCCGCCTCCTCCTGCTGCAGCGCCACTTGCAGCATGTCCAGAACAGCACTTGTGAGGCGCTCGAGCCAGACGCATGTCTCCCCATGGTGGCGCGACACACGGGTGCGGCGTGATGGCAAATGACGAAGACGTGTCTTCTTCACACGCAGAAGTGCCACAAAAAACAAGATGAACCCCGTTATTCGTATAAGAACAATCAACAGAGACATCACACCTAATCACAGACTGGCCCCACACTATCACTAATGAAGTCGTGTGGAGAGGTCACCACGCCTCTATTCTGCTGCTATCAATAGAAGCCACCAACCACACCCTCGCACACCAGAAAGGGCCTCCCTCCCCCCTGCCTAGTCTCGTTCCTACTAGTGACGACATCAGAGAAAACAAACCGAATGAAACAGAAAAAAAAAAGTACCAATAACCTGACGGCATATACGATCAACATACACCCTTGCTCATGGTCAGGAAGAACAAAACAAAAATCAGAGTGTGGTGCATATGTGCACCACGCGTCAAGCATCACTTTCTGGCAGTTACTCTTAGGCATTCCGATTCGAGCCATCCCCAGAAGCCTCATTTTTTCCCCCAGCGCCCACAAGCATATCATCAACAGCATCATCGCCACTAGCACCATCACTGTGGATTCCAGCGGATTCCATCGCCCGCGTCAGGGCATCCAGCCGCATCTCCAGCGTGTCCAGCCCGTTCCATGCTTTTTCAGCAACAGCATTGGATAGTGCCGAAACACCGAACGAGTCCAGCGCACTTCCTTCGGCATCCGCCTCTCTTGGTTGTGGTACAGTTACCACACCTTCTGTGGAGTCCACCGCTCCTGCAAGATTGGCACTGGGGGCCTTTTCTCCTTGCAGCGGTGGCGGCACTTCGGTGCCGACGAAATGCCCCTCGCGCCAGAAACCACGAATGGGATGTGCGGCACCCGGCAGGCGGAGTGTGCCGCGCCCCTCCTTTTTCCCGTCACACCACGTGCCAGTGAAGACCTGCCCGTCACGCAGCGTCTCGCGGCCCTTGCCGTGTTTCAGACCGCTACGCCACTGACCGGTGTAGCAGTCACCCTCCACCGTGTGCAGCACCCCGTAGCCGTGCGGCTGGTCGTCGAAATACTTCCCTTCGAAGAAGTGGCCAGCGGCGTAGAGGTAACCACCGCTGCCACAGCGCTTGCCGCAGCGCCACTCACCGCGGTAAATATCACCGTTGGTGTATATTTTCTCGCCGTAGCCGTGCGGCGCACCGTCCAGCCACGCGCCACGGTAGATGTTTCCGCTGTTGTAGCGCAGCTCGCCATACCCGTTACGGCGCCCAGTGTGTGGGTCGACACCGCCTCTGTACACACCAAAGTCGAACACAAGCTCCTCGACGCCGCCGGATTCTGGAGCCTCTGGTGCCGCAGATGAAAACGGTGGCGATGTCGTTGATGATGAGGGTAATAAAGATGACGAGGACGCAGCAGAGCCAGAAGCGGCAGCTGGCGCGGTGGCACCAGGCATAAGGGGTGACATTACGTTTTCATCCAGCGCTTTCTGCGACATGCTCTTTTCAGGCGAAATGAAAGTAAGAGAATGCAAGTGATGATACACAAATGGTACAGAAAAGAGAGTGAAATTGTGTAAAAAAAACCAAAAGGGAAAAACATAAAACAACGGACATTGAGTCAAAGACAATTTGAACGATTACCACTGTTTGGGGTTTTTTTTTGTGTTTACGCGTAACTTTTTTTCCTCGCTTCTTCACTCCACAATCCTTTATGGTACCATGTAGGTGAGAGGCAGCAACATGTAGAAGCAATGAGCTCCGAAGTAAGTAAGTAGTGAGGGGTGTAGCAAAGATACCCCTATCGCAGGTATATCGTTAATACACTGCTTCCCGCATCCTCTGTGGTGCCCTACATGGTAGTGGAAAGGGCAGACGGACTTTCGTCTTCGCTTTCTTTGCCATTTTCCATAACTGGCGGCAATTTTTGCTGCTCCTGCATGTCGCACTCTTCGTTAGAGCAAAAAGTCATGGGCTCAAATCGTCTTTGCAGCTTTCGGCTCTTCATACCTCTGATGCACGCGGTGGCACCACTATCCTGAGCAACCTGCACATCAAGCTCATGGAAGTACTTTGCGAAGCGGTACCGCACGAGCAGCATCAGTATGCAAATTACCACGCAAAATAGAACCATTGCCGCCTCCACACCACGCTTCCAAGTCGCTTCAAAGGAGAGTAAGTTTACTCCAAAAAGACTCAAGGGTNTGTCAGCCGCATTACCACTGTTGGGGACTCTGGAAGCGGCTGCACCGGTGCTGCTAGAAGTGGCGTTGGCAGACCCTGGCAGCATGTAGCGCAGCGCTGCGCCAATGCCAGCAGTTGTAAAGTATTTCTGCATGCCCAGCACCAGGCCGTACAGAGGCTTGACAAGTATGCCTATCATAATGTTGACGCCATTTGCTAAGAGCGTTCCATTTACCGCCACCAAATCCAAGTGGAACCCATTTTGCTCAACGAGGCTGCAGGCGGCTTCCAAGTCACCCGCCTTCATCAGCGAGGTCACGGCGTCGACGGCCGCGCAAAACGCTTCATTCCGCTCCACGCCAAACTCAAATAGACGCGTCTGTGTGCTCGACGCCAGCGGCGGCACGTGGCCGTCCAATTTCGTCGTTGGTGTCGCAGCGTCCGTTACTGTGGTTGCACTTGTTGTTGCCCCAACATCACGCTCCTCAGCCTCCTCATCTGGGGGGAAGTAGTCATCTGGCACTATTTGGACCATGCAATCTGCAGATCTACCGCAGCTATTTTTTTACTCACTTTTAATCGCTTGGTTTGATGCATTTACGTGTATTTTATTATCACAGCCACATGTCATATGTAGATGTGGGAAAGAAGGAATGAATGTGCTGTAGCAGGCACATAGCACAGAGGCAACGAATAAAACCGCACGGACCAGATGAAGGTTCAGCAAAAGACGATAATAAAACAAAGCGATAATACTACACACTCAAGGAGGAGGAAACAATTAAAACACCTCAACTCTGGTGTCGAGAAAACCCCACTTAAACAGGCATCACCACCACGTCTTTGGCCTTGTTTGTACGTGCGTGTTTGTGTATGTGTGGATATTATATATATATATATATATATATA